AACTGGCGTGATGGCGCTGCAGTACTAAGGGGTGATAGACATGCACCCTAAGGTGTCAGCAGAGGGGTAGCGCATTACGTTCTAGTTGCTGGATTAAAAAAACGTTAATCCTTATATATTATATAGACAGTTTATCTACTTCTGTTTTCTCTATGTCATGTTCTTTGGAGGTTATATTGAGTGGGTATCTCAGATGCCACATGACAGAGTGTTAATGGGGTGAAAGGTACTCACTAGAAACAGTCCCCTATGAAACTGGAAAAGGGACAAGAATAATATCGTAATGAATGCAGTTGACACTTGGGAGATTATGCCCTTGATCTTGTTTTTAAACAAAACCTTAATTTTCAAAATCGATGAGGCTAGTATGGATCTAGGGTTGTATAAATGTTTTCATTGTTTCGCTGCTTGTTGGTTAATGATGACAAGGTCCCAGATTTATTGATCAGGAGTTGAATTATTATCATCATCATTATTACTATTACTGCTATAGCTTGTTTATGATTACTCTATGACGATGTTATTTTGGTCCTCAAGAGTTTTGGTCACATCACATCCTTATGAAAGGACACCATGGATTTTCAAGGACACAGAAAGGATAGGAGCTCCTTAATTTCACACCTTTCTAACCTAGGGGTCCTTTTTTAAGAATACATTTATATGTGTCAATTTTTTAAGAAAGTAAATATATGTTAATTATACCTTGTCAGAATTGCTACTATGTAACCTTGAGTACCCGTAGCGGTTGGGAAGGTCATTTGATTTATCTTTGTACCTGATGTCCATACAAGGAATGTCCAAACTAGATCTGAGCTGTTTAACTTAGCTAACGTTTCTTGGTTGCTCTTACCTTTACAGGTCAGTTTATGATGCCATTAAATAAAGGTTATTTCATTTCTGTTGGACATATTCATACTAAAAAAAAAACCTCAAGTCAGGCACATTTGAGCATTCACACCATCTACTGACAATGACCCCTGCTATTCATGGAGCTATGGTGGCATTTGTAAACAAGGATTTTAGGCTAAATGTCTCATTTTATTGCAATTAATGCATGCTGACTTATGAAAAGGATTGGACAAGGTGGATCTTCTATGGAATCAATGGTTAATCAGTAATAAAAACCACAATTCTAAGTTGAAAAAGAGAGTTCAAATGTAATTGTAAATGCAAACTTGGCTATATTATAAAGATGGTGAATGTCACTTGGACATGTATTTACCAAGGAAGATTGGGAAATCTAGATGTTGGTCCTACAGCAGGGATGTCTCTCACTTAGGAGATAAAGTGGGGGTCAATCTGACCTTCCAATCTGTACTATAAATGCGCAGAATTTTTTCAGCAGAAACTGACCAGTCAATCACTTGCCATTTTATAAATATCTCCCTACATAAATGTTGTACGTAAATTGCTTCACTAACTATACCATGGTCTTCCCTTGATTTACTAATAATCTATACTAAGTCTTGCAAAATACATATATTATTTTCTCAGTTTGATATTGTGCTTTACCGCACCGATTACTTCAATGAAGGAATGTTGCTGAACACATTCCCAGACATAAAAGACGTAAAAGGAATGAAAATTGACCAAGCAAATATAAATGTATTGGGCTTATTTAACAAGGCAGTGCAAAGAGCAATCATTCTGTGCAGTAACATGTAACAACAAATCAGAGCTTACCCTGTATTCATCTACAGCGGTCAGAACAATGGAAGGTGGTTGCTGATTGGACATTGCTTTATATAATGTGCTTGACTATTATTGTTGTATTGGGTGGGAAATCTCCAGTCTTGGAAGAAATAGATGTTTGTCTCTAATGCTAGCCAAAAATGGACAGATCTTTGGTCTGTGATTCTAGATGACCATTTAGCAAATCATTCCTTGGGTTATGTCACCTGATAAACATATTGTTGCTAGCAAACTATCAAGCGCTCCCTTTCAGTCTCTCAGTGTGATTTAGTAACATATTTTTAGATTTTATTGGTTGGGTTGGACAGCACAGACAGTTCTTCTTTCAGGCCTTTGAGCCCCTTTCAAGTGAAAATGACTGATGTTAGATAGTCTGTGCCTGCATGAGTTTCCTCCGGGTACTCCGGTTTCCTCCCACACTCCAAAGACAGGCTGGTAGGTGAATTGGATCCTGTCTAAATTGTCCCTAGTATGTGTATGTATGAATGTAAGTTAGGGACCTTAGATTGTACACCCCTTGAGGGTTAGGGACTGCTGTGAATGTACAATATATATGTAAAGCGCTGCGTAAATTGATGGCGCTATATAAGTACCTGAAATAAATAAATAGTATCTCTTACTGTTTAGGCCCCATGTACACTGAGCCTTTGCCCAGCGCTTCTAAATGCCTTTCTCCGGCAGGAGAAAAACAGCGTCAAAAATGTGCCTGAAGTGCTTGGACATTCATTAATTTCATTGGCCAGAATGTATTCCAGCCATTTAAATGAAAGAACGCACAAGCGCTTGACGTGCATTTACAGTAGGTGCATTTACACATGTTTAGACATGTCTGGCATATTTTAGCAGCAACATTATCCCTCCTGAACGTGTTGGTCGGGGGGGGGGGTTTTCTGCCTCTAAATGCCCCTGCCTCTAATGGCCTGTAAATGTCTATGTGTGCATGGACACATTGGGGGAGATCTACTAAAACTGGAACACTCAGAATCCAGTGCAGCTGTGCATGGTAGCCAATCAGCTTCTAACTTCAGTTTGTGCAATTAAGCTTTGACAATAAAACCTGGAAGCTGATTGGTTTCTATGCAGAGCTGCACCAGATTTTGCACTCTCCATTTTAGTAAATCTCAGCAATAGGGGCATTTTACAAAAAAAGTCAAATGCCTCTAAAAGTGGCTTTTTTTATGCCTTAATGTGAAATGAAAAGATTGTGGGGTTTGGCTTTTTCCCAAGACAACATACTATTTTTGTAGCATAGAAAGAGTTTTGTTGGACTGGCCTTGCTGATTGGCCAGCAGATTGTGTCATCACAATGATTATAATACCAATGATTATGTGATTAATGTAATATAGTTTTGCAAACCTTTTGAAAATATGTAGAAACACTTTAATTGATGCTTTTCCAGATAAAATAGATAGCAACCAATCAGAATCATACACTGGTCTGAGCTCCAGTAAAGGAATCCTGGTGAGCTGTTGTGAGTTCATTGTGTGGGCCAATAATCATGTAAAGAGAATATACAGTTAGGTCCATATATATTTGGACACAGGCACAATTTTCATACTTTTGGCTCTGTATGCCGCCAGCATAAATTAAAACAAAACAATCCAAATGAAATTGAAGTGCAGACTTTCAGCTTTAATTTAAGGGATTGAACATACATATCAAGTACAAATTTTAGGAACTGCAACCATTTTTATGCACAGTCCCTGCATTTTCAAGGGCTTAAATGTAATTGGATAAATGAATATAATCATAAATAAAATGTTCATGTTTAACATTTTGTTGGGAATCCTTTACTGACAAGGACAGCCTGATGTCTGGAAGCCATGGACATTTCCAGACTGGATTTCCTCCTTTCTGATGCTTTTCCAGGCTCTAACGGTAGCTGTCTTCAGTTGTTCTTTGTTTGCAGATCTTTCTGCCTTTAGTTTTGCCTTCAGCAAGTGAAATGCATGTTCAATTGGGTTGAGATCAGGTGATTGACACGGCCATAGCAGAATATTGCACTTCTTTTCCTTCAAAAACTCCTGGGTTGCTTTTGCAGTGTGTTTTGGAGCATTTGGCTGAATCTGGTCTGACAGTATATCTCTAAACACTGCAGAATTCATCCGTCTGTTTCTGTCTTCTGTCACATCATCAATAAACACCAATGACCCAGTGCCACTGGAAGCCATGCATGCCCATGTCATCACACTGCCTCCACCATGTGTTACAGATGACGTTGTGTGCTTTGGATCATAAGCTGTTCCAAGCCTTCTCCACACTTTTTTCTTCCTGGCATTCTGGTACAGATTAGTTTCATCCATCCACAGAGTTCTTTTCTAGAACTGGTCTGGCTTTTTTAGATGTTTTATGGCAAAGTCTAATCTGGCTTTTCTTTTCTTCAGGCTTATGAATGGTTTGCACCGTGCGGTAAACCCTCTGTATTTGCTCTTGTGAAGTGTTGTCTTGATTGTAGACTTTGACAATGATACTCCCACCTCCTGGAGAGTGTCCTTCACTTGTCTGGATGTTGTGAATGGGTTTTTCTTTACCATAGAGAGGATCCTGCGATCATCCATCACTGTTGTCTTCCGTGGACGTCCATATGTTACATACGTTTTTTGTTGCTGAGTTCACCAGCGCATTCTTATTTTATCAGAATGTACCAAACTGTTGATTTGGCCACTCCTAATGTTGATGCTATCTCTATGAATTATTTGTTTTGTTTTGGAAGCCTTACAATGGCCTGTTTCATGTGCATGGACTGCTCCTTTGATGTAGGTTCACAGCAATAGATTCCAAATGCAAATACCACACTTAGAATCAACTCCAGACATTTTACCTGCTTAATTGATGAAGAAATAATGGAGTAGCCCACACCTGGCCATGAAACAGCTTTTGATTAAATTGTCTAATTACTTTTGGTCCCTTGAAAAAGGGGGGATGGCTACTCTTAAGAGCTTTAATTCCTAAACCCTTCCTTTAATTTGGATGTACATACCCTCAAATTAAACCTGAGAGTGTGCACTTTCGGCCCATGTCCATTACATACAGTATCTCACAGAGGTGAGTACACCCCTCCACATTTGTGTAAATATTTTATTATATCTTTTCATGTGGCAACACTGAAGAAATGACACTTTGCTACAATGTAAAGTAGTGAGTGTACAGCTTGTATAACAGTGTAAATTTGTTGTCCCCTCAAAATAACTTAACACACAGACATTAATGTCTAAACTGCTGGCAACAAAAGTGAGTACACTCCTAAGTGAAGATGTCCAAATTGGGCCCAGTTAGCCTTTTTCCCTCCCTGGTATCATGTGACTCGTTAGCGTTACAAGGTCTCAGGTGTGAATAGGGAGCAGGTGTGTTAAATTTGGTGTTATCACTCTCCTACTGGTCACTGGAAGTTCAGCATGGCACCTCATGGCAAAGAACTCTCTGAGGATCTGAAAAAAAGAATTGTTCCTGTACATAAAGATGGCTTAGGCTATAAGAAGATTGCCAAGCCCCTGAAACTGAGCTGCAGCATGGTGGCCAAGACCATACAGCAGTTTACTAGGACAGGTTCCATTCAGAACAGGCCTCGCCATGGTCGACCAAAGAAGCTGAGTGCACGTGCTCAGTGTCATATTCAGAGGCTGTCTTTGGGAAATAGATGTATGAGTGCTGCCAGCATTGCTGCAGAGGTTGAAGAGGTGGGGGATCAGCCTGTCAGTGCTCAGAACATACGCCACACACTGCATCAAATTGGTTTGAATGGCTGTCATCCCAGAAGGAAGCCATGTCATGTGGTCTGATGAGACCAAGATAAACGTATTTGGTTCAGATGGTCTCAAGTGTGTGTGGTGGCAACCAGGTGAGGAGTACAAAGACAAGTGTGTCTTGCCTACAGTCAAGCAAGGTGGTGGGAGTGTCATGGTCTGGGGCTGCATGAGTGCTGCTGGAACTGGGGAGCTACAGTTCATTGAGAGAATCATGAATGCCAACATGCACTGTGACATACTGAAGCAGAGCATGATCCCCTCCCTTCGGAGACTGGGCCGCAGAGCAGTATTCCAACATGATAACGACCCCAAACACACCTCCAAGATGACCACTGCCTTGCTAAAGAAGCTGAGGGTAAAGGTGATGGACTGACCAAGCATGTCTCCAGACCTAAACCCTATTGAGCATCTGTGGGTCATCCTCCAACAGAAGGTGGAGGAGCACAAGGTCTCTAACATCCACCAGCTCTGTGATGTCATCATGGAGGAGTGGAAGAGGACTCCAGTGGCAACTTGTAAAGCTCTGGTGAACTCCATGCCCAAGAGGTTAAGGCAGTGCTGGAAAATAATGGTGGCCACACAAAATATTGACACTTTGGGCCCAATTTGGACATTTTCACTTAGGGGTGTACTCACTTTTGTTGCCAGCAGTTTAGACATTAATGGCTGTGCATTGGGTTATTTTGAGGGGACATCAAATTTACACTGTTATACAAGCTGTACACTCACTACTTTACATTGTAGCAAAGTGTCATTTCTTAATTGCTGTCACATGAAAAGATATAATAAAATATTTACAAAAATGTGAGGGGTGGACTCACTTCTGGGAGATACTATATATATGTACTACTATATATATATATATGTACATTCCTATCAGTGAAAAATGCCTCAATGCGCTCAAGAAAAATACTCACATTTTTTTTGTTGAGTATAGGGTGACGGAGCTTAGTGTGAACTGGCAAACAAGCAGAAAACAGCTAAAGAAGTGTGAATGGGGGTTTATTGAATGAGATTCGGTATGTAAAGAGCAAAAACTTGCAGTAGCCTGTAGCGACCAACTCATTGGTACTTCTGTACATCTAGGTAACTTATTATTATTTATTTATTTATTTTCTTCTTAATGGGTATCTGTTGATTCTAAGTTAAAAGCATATTTGTGATCAAAATGTAGGAATAATATATTCATTTTCATATTGTATTTTAATTATTTCGAGCCTACTACTAATAATCTGAACAAGTTTGTAAAGTAGCTTTGTGAAGATTCCACACATTTGCTTCCTTGAATTCTGTGACACGTAGTCACTATGCCCTGTGAGTAGGCACTGCTGTGTCACACATTTCACAGAGCATGCCTTCTGAACTACAGAGGTGACGAGAGGAGGAGTTTCAGAAGGCGGAGTCAGTACAAGAATCACTACTTGCAGGCAGCAAGGTACCATGGGATATTAGTCCTTAGAATTTGAAAGTAAACAGCACACACACAGAGCAGGGCTTGAGAGCGAGCACACACAAGTGCCCCCAGAGCAAGTGTCTTGCTATGGAGCACTCAGCTGGGGGGAAGGAGCCAGGAGTGCCAGTAGAGAAGAGGAGGATCAGGGCTGCTATGTGCAAAACCATTACACAGAGCAGGTAAGTTTGACATGTTTGTTGTTTTAATAAAATAAAAAACGAAGCTTTAATATCACTTCAATATATTACATACAGTTATAGGGCAGAAAATATATTGTATACCTGGTGAGATGCTACATATATATTGGTAATATAAACAAATGCAGACTCCAGAATGTGAAAAAATAAGTGATTGTGAACATTAATTTATAGAAGAAATAAGGATAAATGATTGTATTGTGTGGGTGTGTATATGTATGCATTTTTTTTACTTTGCACACACATCTATTATACTTGAATATTTTGACTTTTCATTTTATTTTTTGTCATATCAAAGCCTTCAGAATGAGACATGTATAAAAGGATCTGAATGATGCCTTTACTCTTGCTCTTGTTTACATACATACAAAGACCTGGTATTTTGGTCTTTTGTATCTTGCAGATGTTGATACTTTGGCGTGATACCCCATTTAAATAAATGGTGGATAATTAGAGGTCTGCGAAGCCGACACACTTTATTGCATGTCTGTATAATAGGCAGCCAGCAGAGGTGACACTTGTCTTATACCATAAGTAATTCAGCAGCGTTTTCTCTGCACTGTCATCTGAACGCTCCGTGATTATGAAGAAGAGTCCTTTAATAGAATGTAAAGCTTTTACAGCAGGTAGGAAAAGGATAGGCAGGTGTTGATGTGGACATGAATACTGTAAATGATCTTCCATGCTGTTTATAGGTAAAATATGCCCATTTTATATCTATTATATCTATAATTTATTATTTTGCAATTATCACTAAATGACAGTAAACCAAATGGTAATAGTCTACCAAAAGAACATAAATTCATTGATGTAAAATCAGATTCTGGACATTTCTGTTAGTGCTGTTAGCACAAGAAACAGTGCTCCCTTGATGAGAAAATGTAGAAAATAGTTGAACAATATGTATTTGGAGCATTAGGTGTAAGGCTTGTGATTATGCGTTGTATAATATGTCATGTTATTTGCTTAAAGACAGCTTCAGACTAAGCAAGTGGGTAATGATGGAATAATGCCCCATCCTTGCTGTCAGTGGGAGGAATAATGCCCCAACATTGTGTCATTGGGAAGAATAGTGCCCCATTATTGTGGTCACAAGCCTAATGAAGGGGTCCTGCGAGACTTGCCTTGCTGTAACTATGTGATCGTTTATTAAAACTTTTGGACCCATATTGGTGATGCTCAATGTGCTGGTGACCTTCTCCCTTGGGAGGAATAGTACCATACATTGTGTCTTTGGGAGGAATAGTACCCCCTCATTAGTGTTATTGGGAGAAATAGTACCCCATCATTGTGTCATTGGAAGGAATAGTGCCCCATCATTATGTCATTGGGAGGAATAGTGCCCCATCATTATGTCATTGGGAGGAATAGTGCTCCATCATTATGTCATTGGGAGGAATAGTGCCCCATCATTATGTCATTGGGAGGAATAGTACCCCATCATTGTGTCATTGGAAGGAATAGTGCCCCATCATTATGTCATTGGAAGGAATAGTGCCCCATCATTGTGTCATTGGAAGGAATAGTGCCCCATCATTATGTCAATGGGAGGAATAGTGCCCCATCATTGTGTTAATGGGAGGAATAGTGCCCCATCATTGTGTCAATGGGAGGAATAGTACCCCATCATTGGTGTCAATGGGAGGAATAGTGCCCCATCATTGTGTTAATGGGAGGAATAGTGCCCCATCATTGTGTCAATGGGAGGAATAGTACCCCATCATTGGTGTCAATGGGAGGAATAGTGCCCCATCATTGTGTTAATGGGAGGAATAGTACCCCATCATTGGTGTCAATGGGAGGAATAGTGCCCCATTATTGTGCCAATGTGAAGAATAGTGCCCCATTCTTGCTGTCAGTGGAATGAATAGTGCCCCATAATTGGTGTCGGTGGGAGGAATAGTTCCTCATCACTGGTAACAGTGGAAGGAATAGTGCCCCATCATTGGTGTCAGTGGGAGGAATAGTGCCTCATCACTGGTATCAGTGAAAGGAATAGTGCCCCACCAGTGGTGTCAGTGAAAGGTTTAGTACCCCATCCTTGGTGTCAGTGGAAGGAATTGTGCCCCATTCTTGCTGTCAGTGGAAGGCATAGTGCCCAATCATTGGTGTCAGTGGGAGGAATAGTGCTGCATCACTGGTATCAGTGGAAGGAAAAGTGTTCCATCATTGTTGTTAGTTGAAGGAATAGTACCTCATCATTGGTGTCAGTGAAAGGAACAGTGCCCCATCATTGGTGTCAGTGGGAGGAATAGTACCTCATCACTGGTTATCTGTGGAAGGAATAGCGCCTCATCATCATGTCAGGGGAAGAAATGGTACCCCATCAATGGTGTCAGTGAAAGTAATAGTGCCCCATCATTGGTGTCAGTGGGAGGAACAGTATGTCAAGGGCCAGATAAAGGCAAACAAAGGGGCGCAAACATCCTGCGTGATGCAATTTGGAGACCACTGCTGTAATATAACAAATAGTAAGTTAAGTTTTGGTCATGTAACCATTGTTGTTGTGGGTCTTGGAAGTCTGTGAAAAAAAAAATAATACTGGAAAAAACTTTTAGATGTGTTTCTTAGCTTTTCTTTAACACAATTAAAGGGATATGGAAAACAGTAGACACACACACACACACACACACACACACACACACACACACACACACACACATTAGGCTGAACTGGATAGACATGTACTTCCAAAACCTTATAAAAAATATGTACCTGTATATATATACACACACTCACAGAGTGGAGGATTGTGAGTACAGTCACTACACGGTTTTCAGGTATATACTGTAGAAAGTCCCTATGGGGTTGATTTGATAATTGAATAAAAAGTAAATTCTACTTACTTTAGTGAATTCGGTGAAGCAGAGTAAAAATTCACCTTGCAAAACATCCAATAATATGCAAGGAAAATAAAACAGGATTTTTGCACATGTACATGATGATGATTGAAATAAGCACAACTTCATCTTGTTTTCAATTTCCAACGTTCATTTTTTTTATTTTCAAAGTGAATTTTCACTTAGCTCTGTGAGTTTGATAAAGTTTTGCTGACTTCAGTTATTAAATCATGTGTAAGCAAAATTAATAATTGTTTTTATGATCATTGCGTATGATTGGGTATAGTTTGCAAATTGATTTTTCATTTTGTTTCACCTCATTCACTAAGATAAGTTTAAATTCACTTGGAAAGTAAACATGCTCTACTCCTTTAGTAAATCCTTTAGTAAATCAGGGTCACTGCATAAAGAACCACTTTAAACCCTTTTACAAGTGTATCATTGCTGACCCATATTTATACATTTTCTGTTGTCATTGTACCACCAGT